ACAAGCCCTTAGTTGCTTATTCCTGCCTTTCCTCTCTACTCCTAAACCAGTGTTCAGTCTGTGACAGCTTCACCTCCTTCCATCCCATAGTTATCAAGATTCCTTAGCCGCCTCTTGAAAGATTTTTTTCTAGAGTCTTTTGAAGTCCAGATGCAATTATATCCTCCAGGTCTCTCTTGTCTGCTATTTTAAACTCCATGCCCCTGAAGGAGCAATCGTCTTTGCTTAATTCAACCCCACTCCACCACGTCTCAATCTCCCCCCGCACCTACAGCTTGCCTCTGCTTCTCCCCGGTCAAGAATAGAGGTCGTCTTTGGAGATAACCAGGGCTCAAACTGATGGGAGGAATTTGCTGTAGAGCAGTGTCAGGAATTCCCATGTCCCAATACCATATAGGTGAGAACTCCATCTCTTTTACAGGGTAGCCCTCATGGCAGCACACAGCCCTTCCCCTAGGCCACAGAGCTGGCTTTTTTGGATGCGAAGAACAAGGCAACAATACAGTAGCTGGGATTTGATTTCAAACTGTGTAAATAAAGGGTTGCTGACCTCAGAATAGTAAAGGAAGTTTAACTACCTATTTTACTCTCTCTCATTTATGCTGACGTAACTTTTCCCACTACACTCAGCTACCCACAACAATAAAATTGGACTTGGCCATGGAGTGCACTTTCATGCACTTTCACATATCAATTAGATTAACTTTCTGGTGCTCCTGCACCAATGCAATGGGTATTTGTTTCCCACCTTGCTCGGGTAGTGGGGAGGCATTCAACTAAAAAACCTTTGCGCTATAACTCCATCAAAAGTGTATTAATATGAGGATCTGTACATTTCTCATTACACAGCAGTTTCGTTTTATGTAGAAGCTTTTTGACTGTGTCCCTTTAAATTACTGTAATCTGCTCAGGTTACACAGTTTATTCCCTTACACCAAGTCACCTGGTCTAAATTCCTTCGCCAACACCTACTCCCAACTCACTAAAAGGTATAGCATTTCTCAACACTGCAAAATTCTACTTGCCCAGTCATCAAGATAAGGCCTGGGGCAGATTACCTAGCACAGGCGTGCAGTATATTTCATGACAATTTTGCTGATGGGAGAAAGCTCTCCCATCAATTACTCCAGGCCCTGTTAGTGGTGGTAGAAGCTCTTCCACTGACAGGACACTGTCCACACCAGCACTTAGGTTGATGTAACTTACATTGCTCAGGGGGGTGGCTTATTCACATCCTTGAGTGACATAACTTATACCAGCTTAAATTGTACTGTGTACATAGCCTTTGTCTCTAATCACCTCTGAGTGGAGTTTACACTGGTGCCTGTTTTGTAATGCTTTATCATCTGTGTGGTACTCTAACCCAAACGATAGCAGGCTATAGCAAATTTATGACTCATTTTATACTCCCCATCTCACAAGAGAAATAACTATCGAAGGAAAAAACGTTAAGTCAGACGCAACCTACTACACTGGATATAGGATTCATTCATGAGCCATGTAAGACTTCCTGATTTTTGTTCCTAGAAGAAACAGGTGAAAAAAGAAAACTCTCAATATACCAAGTCTGTTTCCTCCAGCAACCTGTTTTATAAAGTACATTTCTACACACGGGATTACAAATCTTTTTAGCTTCTGGGAAGAAGAAAGGAAGAGCAATGAACATAAGAGATGTGACAATATCTCCCATCCAGAGATCATGGATTCTTTACTGCTATTCATTCTTAGGAACAGAGCTATGCAAACTTAGAGATGAATTACACTCTGCTCACCAGTTTTCACATTACTGATGTCTCTGGCAAGAAAGATGGTTTCCTCAAGCAACTCCATGCTCAGGGAAAAGAATGCCTACATTGGATGCCATCTCTGTGTCATAGTCAAAACTATTCTCAGAGAAAGAAATCAGTGCAGAGGCTTTTCTATAGTACATTATCAAGGCAGATCTACCTACAGTCTGATCTCCAGGGTCTGTTTGCAAACCCTTTGCAACTGTGTCTGCACCCACCGATTTTTCAAAACAAATGCTTCAACGTGGTTTTGAAAACAATTCTATACACAGTACCTGTGGCCTTACTTGTAAGTTAACCTGCAATTTACACATACACACAAAATCATAGGCAACCTAACAGATCAGTATTTATTTAAATTTCTACTGTTTCCATCTAAACACTACATATATGGGGTACTGTGCATGGGAGCAAAGGGCAGAATAAGCATATCTTCGGATTGCAAGGAATGACCACCCTTCCCTCTGATCAGCAAGAAAAAAGGGTTTGGATTATGACCAACTATATGTCAAAACTCTCTCAGCAAGCGTCAGGATGTAGCTAGTTTAAATAATTACCGCCCTGCAGACAGGTGTAGACCACATTCACGTCTCACCACTGTAGGAATGCTGCCACTGAGACCTCTAACAGATAAGAGTCAAATCGAATGTTGGTCAATTTGATTTCTTAAAAAAAAAATTAATCCAAAATCTTCCTTTTGTCCCTTGCATTTATATGCCTCATGCAAAATATGTGTAAACGTTTTACAATGGTGCTTTTACCTGAAGATACCATTTTTGAAAGAATCCAAAAGATACAGATTTACCTAAAACACACAACAAACATGGACATCATAGATTTCTGCCTTCTGACCCACTGGCAAGTGGGGTGATACAGAGATTGTTTCCACTCCCCCAAGTTCATGACCCACGTTTAAGATTATACATTCAACATTGGATTCAGTTTTGGCAATTTGCAGTAGGTAAAGGGCCTTGTTTTCTGAGGAAGATTTATACACAGCTTCTCAGGAACATTACGATAAAACAAGCTTCGTGTGAACAAAAACTTACCTACTGAACACCATCCCAAGGACAAACATTCTGAAGACCAATATCAGTAGACATTGGCTCAGTGTCTCTCGAAGTCTCTACTAGTTAGAAAGCACTGGGAATAGCAGACATTTAAATTATCGCTTCTGATTCTTCAAATTGTTGCTACAAAGTTTTTTGCCTTATAAATCGCTACAAATAAACCAGCTATATGTTAAAAGAGTCTTTGTTTTACAGACTTCAGTTGGTAGAAAGTGCTCACTTAAGCAAATGGGACAATGTTTACTTTAGAATGCCCAATTTACATTTCCATGTAATGAAGTGGCCTACAGTTGCAATGTGGAGAATATGTGGTAGTAAATTTACAAAGTAGAGATCATGTATACTACATGTTCTTTCATGTGCTCCACACCAGGAAGCAGGCTTGGTGTTAAAGTGTTTTGAGGCACTATGTAATCAACAGGATCAAGTACCGAGATGGTACCAAGTAAAGCATGTGTTTACACTTATGCGGTTATCCAATGAGTGCACTATACAACAAAATGTCTTCTAAAATGACCTTTCCAAGCAAGGTGGACAATCTCTTCTGTTTGGACATTTGTATTTCCATAATGCTTGGAGCTAATAAGTTCCTGGAATGACACTCACAGCTTAAGCCCATGCAGAATACAACCCCAAAATCTAATATCACAACTGTACTTTAACAGGCTATTACAGGAATTTCTGTACATTCTCAGGAAACTGAATACTTTTTTTATACTATCTATTTTTATCAGCTATACAAGAGATGCAGAGTATACTATGGCAAAGCACCAATCATATAATTATGATTACTAACCTTAAAGAGGGCAGGGAAGTAGTGGATACCCTTTAGCAAATCCATAGGAAATACTCACTTTGGATAAACCTATCTGGCCACAGGGTGCCTCAATTGCTTCACAAATATACAGCTGCAAATGCATTTGCTGTGTCAGGTTGTACATCAAGCAGTTCTTAAAAAGGACAGGAGCGGTGGAAATGGCAGCTGGTTAATCACCAGCTGGAAGCAATAAAGTGCACACTGACTAGTGGTGGTGGTGGTGGGGAGAATTGGTAAACTTGTCTGTGTACACAGCAAAGGTGTGTCAATATTTGATATTCCTGAAGTACTCCCATTAGCTTGGGATAAGAGACAGGATGGTCAGTCATTGTGTAGGAAGTACTAAGCTAGCGAATTTAACTTACTGCACTTGCAGGCATCCACAACCTCCCCACCTGCCCCTAACACAGAGCAGGCTTAAGCCCATGACTGAACATTTGCCGTTATGTGTCTGTCTATATATATATATATCAGAGATAAACTTTAAAATTGAGAATTTTACTCCCAGTAGTTTTCAGCAAAATCACACATACACACACCCTAGCCAATTATGTTTGCAAATCTCTTATCAGATCACACGGAGATCATGCTTTACTTTACTTCAATAAAGTGAATATGTTGTCACTTAATCACAGCTTGATTTGCAAGATATGCTTCTCAGTGAGGTTACTACCCCAAAAACATTTGGTGTTTTTATTAGACCCTCCACTAAATCTACTCTTGGTTACTTTTAATATAATTGCTTCACTTTGGTTCAACTTTATTTAAATAAAAATAAAGTTAAAAGGTAACGGGGAAAAAAACCCCACCAGCTAGAAAAATGAAAATTAGAAGAGTAAATGCTTTGGGGTAAACTGCTTAGAAAGATTTTTTGGGGGGAAAAACAAAAAAAACACCAAAAAACAAGAATCACCCGCTTGACGTTGTGAGCAAGTTTGTTTCTGTGAACAGAATGCATAATCATAGTCCCAAGATAAACAGCACGCAGCATTGTAAATCTCAGTATTTGAGGACTGAAAAATTTAGTTTAGTTACAGAACAGCAGTGCTATGGCACAATGCTAATGGAAGCAACAAAATTAACCTAGCCATTACCTAGCAAAGAACCAGAAGGTTACAACATGCAGTAAAAAAAAACAAAAAACACTGTGGCATGGCACTTTTTCATGTTACTGGAGAAATTTTTTTTTTTGGACATTGTTCCTTTGAAACATTTAACCAGATTGTATTTGCTAAACTGTGGATTCCATTGATTTTTTGATTTGCTACCTGTTAACTACATTAACTTACTTGCCAAACAGTAAGTTAGCGGTAACTAAAAAAAACAAACAAAAAAACCCCCCTACATCTATAATCCTTTCAAGGGGGAAAAAAAAAGTCAAGTCTAATCACTTAGTTTTTAAAGCAAATCCAGCCTCTAATGTACTGTTAATTTCTGGGTGTTTAATAGCTTAAAAAGCTAAATATTATTACAAATTTTTCATCATGATTTCCAATGTACTGAAACTGGAAACAAAATGTGAGGAAGAAAGGGACTAACTGAATGAAAGCACAAGAATACTAGAACTATGAAAAAAATATTCTTCACTGTCATTTCTTTTCATTTAAAAAAAGTCTAATCCATCATCCCTGCAGACACAATACTTCCAGTAAATTCAGAGAAAAAAGTTACTCAGACACAGGAAATTCAGGATTCATGTCCTATGGGCTGTTGGCCCTCTAGACATGAATCTCTACAGTCTTTATATAATTTATCAACCAGTTTGAACTGCATGCTTTCTGGCACTGAATTTAAGTATATGCTAACACTAGGTGCATGTGTCCTTCATTATACTTTACGGACACAGTGCAGCTCCAAGCCCGTAGGCCTACATACAAAGAACGTTTTCTGCAAGGGAGAAAATAAAGTCCACTTTCTGGACATATGCATTCAGCTTATTTTAATAAATCCATCCTTTAAACAAGGGGAGAGGCCTTTGTGCACAGAATAATTCTAAGATGCACTTAAATGAGCTGTGCTACATAGGACAAAGACAAAAAACAAGCTGTTGAGAACAATCCTCATTAAATTTCACATTCACACACAAATATACGCACAGAGCCAACATGTACGTAAACCCAGACGTGCTGCTTTGGAAAACTGCATCCAGACTGAAGTGCTGTAGAGGTGCAGCGTGTGCCTGGGGGATGTGGAAGACCCAATTCTGTAGAACTCTACAAGGACTTGCAAAGTTTGTCATGAAAACAGCACAGGAGAGGCACAGACATAAAACCATCCCTGAAGAAATGCTTGTACCAGCACCTCCTGCATTCTATTTTCAAAGGTTTCTCTGAGGTTCAAACTTGACTGCCAGCTTTAAGTAGAAGGCTTCAGAGAATGGAAGCCAGGCATTCACAGTAGCACCAGCTAAATATTTATGTTCACACTCTATAGCAAATCCAATTACACGCTAGTGTTAGTCAGTTTCTCAGACTATAAGAGGGTGGCAAATTTGAGATATCCTCCTTCACACTGCACATTACAATTACAGGACTCAAGTCAATAAAGACACACATTACCTTAATGTACAGCAGTGTCCTGCTGCCAAGCTACACAACTGCTGTGAATAAAGCCAGTAGGGCAAAGCAAATGTCATGACTAGTTACAATCAAGCAAGAGGCATTTAAAAAAAAAAAACCAAAGTAAAACCATCTTCAGTTTCAAGGAGACTGAAAAATCTCAGCATTTCCCCTAAATGCAAAAAGGATGACTGCATGATTGATTTCTTCTTCTTACATTTGCTAACTCTTAAGTCAAAATCAGAAAATATATATACATATATATATATATATTTTTTTTTATGTCAGTTACATTTTATTAGCCTAATTCAACAAGGGGAAAAACCTCAGGTATTCATTATACAAGTATAAAGCCCTATTCAAAGACCCAGGGGTCACTATATACTGCACACAGCAGTCAATCAATGCAGTAAAAAAAAATTAAAATACTGAAAATGGATGCTTTTTTCTTCTTTCACATGTCCAGTGATTTTTCTGTCACAGTGTGATGAGGTCTACCAGGTTGCCTTTTGGAGGAGTCATGTTGTCAGGAAAGAAATTTACTAACGTATCAAAGAGCTGAGTTCTTTGCGCATAGGTATGGTCAACATCCGAAAATCCTGGGGGAGCGAGAAAGACAGGAAAAAATAAGTCAAATTTAAAACATGAAATAAATTAACCAATGAAATATGCCAAGTATATACATTTTAAAGGAATGCGGAATATGTGCAATTCTCTCCTCATCCTCCTTTCTGAATACACCTCACTGCACTGGCTGTGACCAAAAGTCTTTCTCAACCTTGCGTCACACATCAGCATTAACAGTCCAGGCTGTTTATTCAGCCCTGCTATCCACTGCCACGAGTCTATCCATTATACATACTCTAAACCAGCCTGGAGTTGGTCTGTCTCACATTCAAGCCAACATCACTCAAGGGCAATGGATTTATATGTAGGGCCCTATCAAATTCATGGCCATGAAAAACACGTCACGGACTGTGAAATCTGGTCTCCCCACCATGAAATCTGGTCTTGTGTGCGCTTTTACCCTATGCTTTACAGATTTCATGGGGGAGACCAGCATTTCTCAAATTGGGGTTCCTAACCCAAATGAGAGTTACGGGAGGGGGGGTGTCACAAGATTATTTTAGGGGGGTTGCTGTGTTGCCACCCTTACTTCTGTGCTGCCTTCAGAGTTGGGCGGCCAGAGAGTAGCGGTCACTGACTGAGGGCACAGCTCTGCAAGCAACAGTGCAGAAATAAGGGTGGTAATACCATACCAGGCCATCTTTACTTCCGCACTGCTGCTGGCAGTGGCTCTGCCTTCAGAGCTAGGCTCCCAGCCAGCAGCCACTGTTCTCCAGCTGCCCAGCTCTGAAGGCAGTGCCGCCACCAGCAGCAGCGTAGAAGTAAGGGTAGCAGTACTGCAACCCCCCCCCACGATAACCTTGCGACTCCCCCCACCCCCCCAACACACACACACACACACACACACACCCACACCCCTCTCCCTCTCGGGTCAGGATCCCCTATAAATACAACACCATGAAATTTCAGACTTAAATAGCTGAAATAATGAAATTTACCATTTTTTAAATCCTATGACTGTGAAATTGACCAATATGGACCATGAATTTGGTAGGGCCCTATTTATATGTACTGGAACTTCCTCTCTAATTTCTACAATTCACACCACTGGTATCCCAAAGGGGTCCCTTTTCAATCATAATTAATTCTTATTACGTACATGAATCCAGACTTGTCACATTGACTGAAACAAGGGGAATTTTCCTTTAAAAAGATACAGGACACACAAAGAAAGGTGCAACATATCCACATTGTTACAATGTAGATATTAATCTCAACAGGACTAAAAAGAAAAATACCTTCGTGTATTACCTTAATCATGTACTGCAAAATATTGCAATACCATGTTATCCAATTAAGAAATAAAGACAATTTAGATGCTTTCTAAAGTTACCATTTTTTTTAAATCAAAGGGGAAAATGATCTACTAAAATACAATTTAAGTATTCAGTTTCTTTAAAACCATATATGTGCTCTTTATGGGAAATCTAACTCTGTGGCTCATACACAGTGAGAGTGTTACAGTAGATGATTCCTTGGCACCACTGTGATAAAGGCTAATTCGCCTTGTTACATTAGAACAAAAAAATTGGAAACTCTCAACCTCTGGTGTCAAGGAGTTTTTATTTAAAAACTCATCTTAGAAAAATGTAGTATCTGTTGATAATGCTTAAACAAGATCAGCACAACCTCCTCATCCATTTGGACAAACTGTGCAGTCTTTTTTTCCCCTACCTATTAATTCTTGAGGTTCAAATTGCCAATTCGGCTAACACCAAAATGATCAGTGCTTACACAGTATGAAACCAGGAACTGCTAGGCAGCACAGAGTTAGAAAAACGAAAGCCAAGTAATGCCTCTGGCCTTCTCATAGGTCAATCTCCAAATCATCATTCAAATAACCATGAAAAATATCTTGTTATTGGATGTCAGGGGAAACCAATTATGTTTTGTGAGTTCTTGTTTTTGTAAGTTTACAACATTGTCATCTTTATTATTCTTGACATTCTGTCCAAAGAGCCAGTTTTGCAAAGAACAAACAACTAAATTGCTCTAGGAACTGCACTGTGTTTTCACACCAAACAGAAATCTGTAACCATGCTGCTGGATTCCAAAATGACACGACACAAGTTCCTTTCTTTTGACCAAGGCTTCTGCTTATTTGGGTAATGGCGCAGCATATGGTGTAACAAGAGCTGCAAAATGATCCACTGAGACCTGAATTTGAGACCACTGATGACTGCTGTTTTAAAAATGGGCTTGAGACAATAAACACTATTGAATAGAAATGTTCCTTCTCAAATATTTAAAGGCACTTTTCGGAGAAAAGGTGGGCGAGGTAATCTCTTTTATTGCTCTTTTATTATCTGAAGAAGAACTCTGGGTAAGCGTGAAAGCTTGTCTCTCTCTCAAACAAAAGTTGGTCCAATAAAAGAAACTATTTCACCCAAATATTTCACCTATTATCCTGGGACCAAAGCTGTAACAGGGCATAAAGGCACTTAACCCTTTTACAGTCTGAATGTGCTAACACGTTTGTGGCCTACACCTGTTTCACCTAAATAGCAATAGCAGAAATCTTATCACAGTAATAAACCTGGCTACACTTTGTGGTCTTAGCATAATTCATCTCTGGCTCATTATAATACTCACCCAGAGTGGTGAAATCTGAACCAGACTTGAACAGTGCTGAAGCAAGAAGCTGAAACTGTGGGGAAAAAACAAGAGCCAAACAAATTATCCAGATGTCTACATAAGGCAAACAAAAGCTTCTTAAAACAGCAAATTGCATTAAAGGTGGCCTGTGCTGTGTTTACCTAGCACAATGTTCATTCAGATGTATGGTACCGTGGTTGTCATAACAGAGGCAGGCAGAGCCATACAGGATTTTGCGACTGCATTTTTAAAAAACTATAAATACAGATTTTACATGTGTCCACTCCTCCTTTTCCCTTCGGCTTTAAGTGAATTCAGTGTTTAAAATTTAGCATAAATGTCATGAAAGGCAACATTCAGAGCCCTAGAGATAAAAGTCCTACTTATCCAAAGACGACACACATCATAAAGGTAATGCAAGCGCCTCCTGAACTACCCCTCCAGATCATTTCTGTCTTGGAATGGCCCCTTCTAGATACGAGTTATGAGTGTGATACGGTCTCCATGCCCATTCAATCCTTGGTTGCCCAGCTGAGACAACTAAGGGTGCCAATTAGCACTGAATGAGATAGATGTTTGTGATGTGCAGAAGGAACGTGACTACAACCACCAACTTTTGTTCATAGGCCACGCAACCTTTAAATGGTTAATAACTTCTGGTCACTACTAACCTGGGCCTGATCATCCATATCCCAGTGCCAACCCCATCCATTCAGTCCCGTAAGTTTTGGGTTTTTCATTAAAAGATTCTCAGGCTGGGAGCATGAGACTCAAGAGCGAGAATGCAACAAGAACAACTTCAACATAGTAATAGCCATCCTTCATGTCTGCACCCTTCAGCTATCGGGAGGCAGCTATGAATAGCAAACCCCCCTTCACCATACCACTAGTCGCCAATTAGCAGAGCTATACAAACAAATTGAGTAATTAATGTTTCCATAAAGTTTTAATCAGTCCCTTAAGGCCCTTTATCATTTCTGTTGACCTTCCTCCTGTTCGCCTGCATCCCTCTGGTACTCAGATGTGCAGATTCCAAAGGAAGGGTGAGGTACACACATACATAAAACAGAACTAAATTAATCATTAAGCTTAGTGCGCTTGCAGTGCTAAAGATGAGCTTCATTGCCACTGCAAATGGCAATGTATAAAAGAGTGATTCTGGCCCTGATTCAGCAAGGTGCTTATTTATTATTTGTATTATCCATGGGCCTACGAGCCCCGGTCCCGGACCAGGACCTGCTTGTGCTAGGTTCTGCACAAATCGAACAACGAGAACTTACAATCTAAGTATAAGACAAGAGTAAAACAGACAGATACAGACAGAGGAATATAAGGAAACAATGAGACAATACTGGTCAGTATCAAAGGCTGTGGTCTTAGCCCACCAGCAGCCTAACCACTGTCAAATTTTTTGACGGCATCAGGAAAGGGGAGTTTAAAGAGGGATCTGAAGGGGAACAATAAAGTGGCTTTACAAATATTTGCAGGGACCTCTTCCCAAGCTGGAGGAGACCAGCATTACCCCTGCTGCTCCGAGCTGAAGGGAGCATGCTCAGTTGCTCTGTGGGGATGGCACATGTGCAGTCCAGTCATACTTAGGAGCTAGGAGAGGCGCAAGCAAACTCAGTGTGGATGGACTCAGATTTTAGCAGCTACCGTCTCAGAGGTCTCTACTGAGCATGTGCGAACTGCAATTTTTCAAAAGGTCTATAACTTAGCAAAATTTGGGCAGATTTTTGTAGAGATTTCAAAAGGCACATCCCTGACAAGATCACCACCTCCCTGTTACCCAGGCCAAATTCAAGTTCTTGTTCCAAAGCATAGGGGAGCTGGAGCTCTTCAAAGAAAAGGTCACCAGTATTTATTTTTTCCCCCAACATGGGCAAAACACACTTTTCCCTAGCCTTGTTCTCAGAAATGGCTGACCTGTTTCAGCTGGAGTTTTCCCAAAAATTTCAAACTGAGGCAGACAACTGGCATGGAAAATTTCAGCTCAAATGGTTACAGTTTGGCAAAGTTACTCACAATTGAAAAAATGGTCTTATAATGGGAAGTGTCGGGAAATAATTATAAGCAGATCTACCCAGTCCTGCCTATACATAGCACCGCCTACAGCCTAGCATAAAACATTTCCTTCTTTAGTTACAATGCATTGCTCCTTCTACATCTTCTGAGTGTGACTGATTCTTTTCATTTATACAGTTACCTTGAACCTATTTATAGAGGGATCATGTGTCCCCACTCAAGTTCACTTTCCAGTGAAAGGGAAGTTCCACTCTCAATCTTGCCCTACAGAATTATTTTACTCTCCATTCCTTAGATACTTATGTTCTGTGTTTTCTCTAGGTTTGTTTATATCCTCCTGAACAGTAACATTCCAGGTATAGTCACATTAAAGCTCAAGAAACTACTGCCTCTGGAGCGTAGTAGGTGACCTGCTAAGGTTTACATGAATTAATAAACACTGGATTTTTCCCCCTCACAGCAGCACCAGACTGGGAGCTTATATTTAGCTTCTAATTTTATCATCCTTAGGTCTGAATCACTCCTTTTCAGATGCATGAATTTGGGGACAGCTGTGTTGTTTATATGGAATAGGAAAAATATATGTGCACTTTTTTTTTTTAAACCAGTATTAGCAAATTTCAGTATCTAGTATGCCTTTCATCTCATCTGCCAGGAAGCCACACCACACACTGGTGCAGTAATCAATAGCTTTCTATTTGCCCTGGAGACCTGCTAGTCACCTCACCTACGAGCACACCACAACTGTCAGGTCTCCAGGCCAGTAAGACAGAGACTCATTTCTATCTGAGAAGCTGATGAACTGCCTGGAGGGATCCAACATGACTTCAAGTGGGATCACCACTAATCTGCCCAAGTCAGAACCACATTACAAATCTGTTGCGTTGGTGAGCGACAGCACAGCCAGGATCTATACATGGCCCGTGGGGGCAACGTAATGAGCATTCATGTGCTAAATGAGGCCAAGAGGTTCTCAGCTACATTCCAGAAATTAAAAAATAAGAGAAAATAAAAAATATTCCCTTAACCGGATAAATTCATAACAAATGCTGAAATTCTGGAGGTGCCATGCTGCGTCTCATTCACACCACATTAAACAAAATTAGTTACCAAAGCCAGAGCAAGTTTCTCAAGAACAAATTGTCTGTTTTCTTTGGCACTCAACTCAAAACAGCTGAAAAGATATGAAATGAAGTTTAAAAAATGAAATTACTCCTCCTAAGCTAGGATCCTTTTATGCAGAATTTTACCTTGGTGCAATCTTTTACAGCAATGCTTACAAACCTCTGAAATTTGTGGTTTACAACGTGAACACCAACTGACACTGAACACCACAAACAATCACACTACACTATATCAGGGACAAATCCAATCAGCTTGCTGCTTTGCAGAGTGAATGCGAGTTGGTTGGAGACAGAGCAGAGATGGGGGAAGGTAAAGGAGAGAGGAAAGACAGCCGTAAGAGGAGCTCTGAAGAGAATCAAACTTAGCAGTCCTACAATGCTGAGCTATATTCAGCACACACAGCGTCAACAAGATATACTGCCCTTGCTATGAAATAGACCACATTTGTTATAGGTGGTGCCAGGGATTATGCAGGCATCTGTGCTGGGAAACAATGAAACTTCTGCTTCAATTTTAATGCAAAATATGGCATCAGTGCTGAGAAGAGCACACAGGAGCCATTTGGAGATGTAGTGCCAGTAGCCAACTCAATGAGATAACCGGAAGGGAAATTGACGTCATGGAAATATACCCAGTCAGTATCAGTGCAGGGCGGGCATAAAGCCATCTGACTGGCAGCTCTGTTCTGATACAACAAGTCTATGAGAGTTGAAGCTATTGGAACAGAAAAGATTGTAAAGGAAGAAGTTGCAGAAGGTTTTCAGCAGCTGCTCTAACTCTGCTAAACAGTAAATATTGATCTGGCAAAGAGAAGCAAGAGGAAAGAGGTCAAAAAATTCAAGCATTAGGCCTGCAAAGAAATGAGGTGTAGTGAAATTACAACTATTATCCTGAAAAGCCAGAGAGTGGCTTAGGGCCCTGCACATCAGGATTGAAACCCTTCCCTGGAATCACAGGTTCACACGGTAACATGGTCAACTCAAACATTTCATGCTTGCAAGGTAGATAAATTGAATAGCATGCAGTTTACTGTGCGAGTATCTTGCAGAGACTTTGTGAAAGTATTGTGAAATATTTTGGGATCCTCTATGCACTATATGAAATTTAATTCAAATACTTTTCAGGTTGAAAAATAGCAAGAATTTCCTGTTATTTTTCTTCCTATTCCTGTCCCAAACAAGAGAAAAGATGTGAAGGTAGCTAGTATGAGTCAATTTCAGTGTGAAACTCATAATTTAGACATGTTGTATGGATATGTTATCTATTAAATTTGGCAACAACCTTAGCATGTCAATTACGTTACTGAAAATGAATTGCAATCTATGATAAAGTAATTAAACAACAATTTCCAGGATTCTGAGACAAGCAAATTATTTTCCAAAGTCCTGTCACCCTATAACCCCAGCACCATATTGCATATGGCCTTCAGTAACAGCCCCACAAAAACAAAGCTTTTAGAGGCTATACTTAGACAATTTCTATTTGCTTAGATTACATGATCTAGCCAGCACACTAAGGGGCTTTGATCAGAGACTCCCCAAGTTCTTATCACAGCTTTGATACTGACTTGACACATGAACTAGGGCAAGACATTTAGTTACTGAGCCCAATTCTTGTCTCATACCAGCTTTACAACTGTAACTATCCACTGACTTCAGTGGAGCTACTTCTCATTTGCACCAACGTAAGGAAAGTAAGGAACACCCTAACCAGTTAAAATGGGGCAACTGAGACAGAGTGATAAGGGTTACATGTTTGTACAGCATTTTGAAGGTCCGAAGTACTATACATAACTGCACATAGAAGCAAAACCCAAAAGCTTATCCTAAACTTCATAAGTTCAGTAAGTTATCTAGGGCTGCTACTAGACTTCATTAAACCCTTTTGTAAAGTGACATATGTAATGGAGAGAGGCTGTCTGAAATTCCTATCAGCTCTTGGGAACTTATTGCTTCATTTGTGCTTTGGGAACAAACTTACTCCTGGAAAAACCAAATATGTGCACTGAAAAATGCGATAAGGCCATATAAAAGCCTTAGTGATCAACATACATAAAAAAATCCAGAGTGAGAAATATATATTCTGGAGAAGAGCTCAATTTTTTCCTTCAGAGACATTTAAATATGTACAACCCAAATGAAAAAATATCCTGAGAACATCACCTTCAGGGGAGATGTCTGATATCAGAGAATCCTTTTACATCTTCTTAATATAACATAATAGCAGCATTTCCTTTTATTGGGTGCAGTATAATGCACTTTCCATAGCACAACCAACTAATTAACTATAAGCCTGTGCCATTTGATACAGAGTTTATATTTCATTAAAACCCCCAAACACAAGACAGCCCATTAGAATTAAATCTAAGGTCCCGGCTGCATGCAGTTTTTTACTGATAGCTATTTTGGTATGGGGTGTGGAGTTTTTAAAAAATAGAAATAGTTATACTGGTACATCCCCTAGCTTAGATGCAGTTATACTGGCATAAAGGTGCCTTACACTGGTGTAGCTATTCCCATATATAAGGGTACGTCTATACTACCCACCGGATTGGCGGGTAGTGTTCGATGTATCGAGGATTGATTTATCGCGTCTCGTCTGGACGCGATAAATCGATCCGCGAATCGACGCCCGTACTCCACCCTTGGCAGGAGTAAGCGGAGTCGACGAGGGAGCCACGGCAGTTGACTCGCCGACGTGAGGACAGCCAGGTAAGTTGAACTAATAGTGTAGCTGAAGTTGTGTATCTTAGTTCGAACCCCCCGCTAGTGTAGCCCAGGCCTAAGGGGAATAAGCTATACTGGTATAAGCATTTTCATATCAGTATAACTGCAACCACATTAGGGAGTTGTACCTCTAACTATTCTAGTATAGTTAAAGAAATACCTGTGTGTAGACAAGGTCTAAGAAAACCTAAGGTAACTCTAAAAGTTCCACAGTATGCACCTTTACATTCTTTTTTTTTTTTTTTTAAAAAAAAAAAAAAAAAAAGGAAGTAGTTTTCACCCTTACCTCTTTTGTCTCCTCAGGGTCAGAATGATCCACAGTTACATACAAGTCATTCTGTAAGTATTTCAGTGCACTGAGTGGGTCAGTTTGGGCCTTTTCTTCAAACCTGTAAAATGGAAGGAGATAAGCAACTTGTATGTGATTATAAGACACACTCAAAGCAAGCACTGTTTTCATTTACTTTGAGCTCAGTTACTAAACACACTCCCTACTCTTTTATGGGAGCAAAAGTCACACATGCAAATTGTTCAGTGATAGCTGCTTAAAGCACATGAATTCTATGACAGCTCAGCCCCCTCCTGCTAGAAGTCTGGGTACAGAAGCAGCATTCTAAGGTGCTCAGGGAAATCAAAGCTAGCGACTTCGATCCCTTTGCTAAAACAACCAAGTATCTCAAAGCTGTATAAGTTGTTGTTCATAAGGTACTCTGTACTAAAACATTAGGCAAATAAGCGTGGTGTATCCATTTCACAGAGAGATAAACTGAGGCATGAGGAAGTGAAGTCACTTGCCCAAACAGCAGATTCAGAGATAGAAATTTTGAGTTCTAACACCCACTACCTACAATCAAGACACAATGTCCAAAACCTGATCTAACCGCCTTTAAAAAACCAATAGCACATTTTCATCCAAAATATTCCCTTAGGAATGAATATAAGGGCTGCAAATGTCTTAAAAGTATGGTATTCCGGCACCTACCGACCAAAAGGGAATAAACCTAAGACTTCAAGTTGGTCTGACCCAAAGACAAATGAATGGACAGACTGGACAATCTTGCTTTGGAGATTGATTCTCTCAGTTACACAGACTTTTCATTAGGTTGCTTGAAGAATTAGTTTCCCCCCATGTCATTAACTGAAAGGCCCCTCCAGTTCTATGGTTTGTAATATTGATCGAAGCAGCCACTCTCAAACAGACAGCATGTTTACAAGTCACAAAAGAAGCTGCTGTGACTCTTCTGTACCAAAAGCACTTAGCAATTGTTATCTACCTTGTTCATTGTGGATCTTGGGAGGACAGAACTTGGGGTAACCTGCTTCAGAAAGCACGGGTCTTTTTAGAAGCTAAACAGAGACTTCACTGCAATAGTAGCAATAAGGTTTCCTTCTTCTATAGGCCACTCGCACTTGAACAGGTCTGACATTCCACCCACTAGAGGGCAGTGATGACACATCAGCCAATGTAGTTCTCAGTTTAAAAAGAATGACAGCAATTTTTTTCAAACAGATGCAGTTTTATATCTACATTTTTCAACGGGCTGAACCTCAATGCCAACCTAATTGTGCTATGCTAAGGAGTTTCTTCAGTCTTGGCTTAGAATATCTCCTTTGATCAGTGTGGATAAAACTGGTTTAAAATTAAAAAAAATCTGTTTCTTTACATTGTGTTTTATTTAAATTAAATACATTTTATTTTTTTTAAATAAATGTATTGGAAATTGTGACAACATATGTTAAGGCCTAAATTTACTATGACTTATTAAAATTAATTAAATAAAAGTATTTCAAGCATCACATTTGCTGCCAAAGTTTTAAAGAAAGTCAGACTACTGAACTGATTGAAGTTACTGGATAAGCACCTGGAACCAGAGTTTGCTAAAGTGCACTAGCCTCTTCTGCAATTGCAGAGAGAATATTTTCTTTATTTCAGTTTATTCAATTCAATGACTAGTTCATTCTAAGTTGAGACACCGATTGTGAGTTGAAGCAAGAAAGCTTGTTCTCCTCTTCCACTCTACAAATAAAAATGAGGTAAGGGGATGAGATCCACTAGTTCTAAAATCTTGAAGGTCATGGGGGCCAGAAACAACCAGTTCAATTCACTAACTACAGATATACTTCCTCTACTTAACCAATTAGTTTTAAAAGCAAAACATGTTTTGACTCTTTCTTATGTATCCAGCACATTTAAGGTAGCTTTATTTAACTAACAGAACAATTTAAAAATACTTTTTTTTTGTCATGAATTAAAAAAAAAAAAATCAACCAATAATTAACAAATGCATCATTCGCCATTTTCTAAGAAGTAAAAATTAAGAAACTGAATACATTTATGTTAAACAATAACTGCTTAAATAAAATGTGCATATAGTATATTCTTTTGGTTAGCAAAAAGGATCAAATTTAGTTGCAAATCAATATGTATTAATGGTTACCAACCAATGAGAATCAACCTTTCTTTACAAAAATAAAGATACAGGTGCAAAACATGATTATATTAAATTATTTAAATCAAGCTTACTGCTTGCTAATTTAAATCATTATAATTATATAAATGATTTTGGTTTAAATCAAGTCACTCTGTCTTTGATTATCTCCTTCCTTTAAAAAAAGTTCACACCTTTTAGGAAGCTGCATGGACGGTCCAAAGGCAGAAGTAACCATGAATTAGCAGTCAAAGGGTAGGAGAGATTGTTTGATGTGATCTTGACAGTATACCAGACTCACCAGTAAGTGCTGGTTAAGCTTCAGCTCTATTTCATATGACTAGAGGCCTCAGATATTGTACAGTATAAAAGAGGACATTCAAGCCCAAATTTTCAAAGTAATTTTCAAACCTGAGCATGTCTGACTATGCAAATCTACCTCTTCATGAGCTGTTTTCTACATGGCCATTTGAAAAAAGAGCTCTTACTGAAAAGCTGCAGGATACGAGCACATACTTCTACTGCACAGTATGACATCACAGAATGCTGCCATTTCCCCAGGGGATGGTTCCAATCTCCATTTATAGTAACTACACAAAATGTAGAGCTAGATTCACGCTATCAACTAATAAACGCAGTCATCCTAAATAGGAGCATTCAGCTAATCAAAATACCAACTGAACTGTAGCTGTCATTTTACCATGAACCTAGTTCTCATCTCCCTATCATGAGAATAACCAACACCAAAAAAAATAAGACTAATAAAAAAAGTCCACCCCTCCACCCCCCCCAAATCAACCTAACAGAACTAGGCTCTGGAGAAGAAGCAATGAAAAGGGTTGCTAGGGGAGTGCCTCTTGTCCCAATGCCTCCTCACCTATTTGCTGTAAAGCAGCAGTGACTCTGAAATAGCACTGACCATTTGTAAACCTGTCCTTAATAAATCACTTACCCATAGCCTTAAGCATGCGTCAAAACAAAGATCCTTTAATGAAGGTGAAACCACCCTCAAGCTGTACTATTATTAAGGCTGATGGGGAGCAAGAACGGTACTTACTCCATATGATGCATTAACACCTTCTTTAAAACAAGAGATCCAGGGCCCACTCTAGGACACACAGTGCCTCAAACACTTCAGATAAGAGGCATATCATAATCATCTCTAGACCACCACCAGCAGGAACAGATTATTTCTTAAGATCTTGTCATCATGTGTATGTCCCAAACGAGAGAGAGAAAAAATGCAGGATCTCCAATTTTATGGTCTTTCTGCAAGTGGTTTCATTTAAGAAAGTTTCTAGCTTTCTCCCTCGCTACCATCCTTCACAAGGTATGTTTCACAATTGACAGGCCCCCCTGCGTTGTTAGCAGAGCCTTGCAGAAAATATGTTCTCAGCTAAACAGCAGCGATGGTGTGAACTAACTCCCACCACGACTATTATGAAGAAGTGTTGAATCTTTGTCTGTCCAAGGCTTTAGCACAGCTTGATGACACAGCAATGCTCCTATCTGCACTACAAAATATAATTGTGTTGGAGATAACCATAATGTAATCAGCTTTAATGAAAACTAGGGCTGTCAAGCAATTAAAAAAAATTAATCGCGATTTATCGCACTGTTAAACAATAATAGAATACCATTTATTTAAATATTTTTGGATGTTTTCTACAATTTTCAAATATATCAATTTCAATTACAACACGGAATACAAAGTGTACAGTGCTCACTTTATATTTATTTTTGATTACAAGTATTTGCACTGTAAAAAAACAAAAGAAATAGTATTTCAATTCACCTAATACTGTAACAATCTCTTTATCATGACAGTTGAACTTACAAATGTAGAATTATGTAAAAAAACTGCATTCAAAGAATAAAAATGTAAAACTTTAGAACCTACAAGTCCACTCAGTCCTACTTCTTGTTCAGACAATCGCTCAGACAAACAAGTTTGTTTACATTTGCAGGAGATAATGCTGCCCACTTCTTGTTTACAATGTCACCAGAAAGTGAGAACAGGCATTCTCATGGCACTGTTGTAGCCGGTGTCGTAAGGTATTTATGTGCCAATTATGCTAAAGATTCATATGTCCCTTTATGCTTCAACCATCATTCAGGGGACATACGTCCATGCTAATGATGGGTTCTGCTCGATAACAATTCAAAGAAATGCAGACCGACGCATGTTCATTTTCATTATTTGATTCAGATGCCACCAGCAGAAGGTTGATTTTCTTTTTTGGTGGTTCAGGTTCTGTAATTTCCACATCAGAGTGTTGCTCTTTTAAGACTTCTGAAAGCATGCTCCACGCCTCGTCCCTCTCAGATTTTGGATGGCACTTCAGATTCTTAAATCTTGGGTCCAGTGCTGTAGCTATCTTTAGAAATCTTCTTTGTGTTTTGTCAAATCTGTAGTGAAAGTGTTCTTAAAACGAACATGTGCTGGGTCATCATCCGAGACTGCTATAATATGAAATATATGGCAGAATGTGGGTAAAATAGAACAGGAGACATACAATTCTCCCTCAAGAAGTTCAGTCACAAATTTAATTAACGCATTATTATTTTTTAACAAGCATCATCAGCATGGAAGCAAGTCCTCTGGAACGGTGACCGAAGCATGACGGGGCATACGAATTTTTAGCATACCTGGCAAGTAAATACCTTGCAATACCGGCGACAAGAGTGTCATGCAGATGCCTGTTCTCACTTTCTGGTGACATTGTAAATAAGAAGAGGGCAGCATTATCTCCTGTAAATGTAAACAAACTTGTTTGTCTTAGCGATTGTCTGAACAAGAAGTAGGACTGAATGGAATGTAGGCTCTGAAGTTCTATATTATTTTGTTTTTGAGTGCAGTTATATAACAACAACAAAAATCTACATTTGTAAGTTGCTCTTACAAGTACTGTAGTGCAATCTCTATCATGAATGAGGTGAATTGAAAAATACCATTTCTT